CGGGCGCTACCACGCCCGGCTGATCTTTTGATTTATTGTAGAGATGAGGTCTCGCTGCCCAGGCGGGTCTCGAACCCGCGGGCTCAGGCAATCCGCTCACCTCAGCCTCCCAAAGGCGTGGGATTACAGGCTGAGCCACCGAGCCCGAATTTTTCTTTATTGTAGAGACGAGGTTTCACCAAGTTGCCTGGGCTAGTCTTGAACCCCTGGGCTCAGGCAATCTGGCCTCTTGCCTCTGCCTCCCAAAGTACGGGGATTACAGGCGTGAGAGCCATCACAACCAGCTTTTTTTTTTTTTTGAGTTGGAGCTGCCCAGGCTGGAGTGTAATGGCATGCTCACAGCCACCACAGCCTCAACCTGCTGGGCTCAGGTGATCCTTCTGCCTCAGCCTTCCAAGTAGTTGGAACTACAGGCACACGTCATCAGGCCCAGTTAATTTTTGATTTATTGTAAAGATGAGGTCTCACAAAATTGCCCAGGCCGGTCTCATACCTGTAAGCTCAATCCTCTCACCTCAGCCTCCCAAAGTGCGGGGATTATAGGTGTGAGCCACGTGCCTACCCCAGTCATATCTTTTTTAAAAATCAAAACAGCCAAGCATCCAGCCTGGGTGACAGAGTGAGACTCTGACTCCAAAAAAAAAAAAAAAACAAAACAAGGTTCCTTATGTATTATTATTATTATTTTTTTTTTTTTGAGTTGGAGTCTCACTCTGTCGCCCAGACTGGAGTGCAGTGGCCGCTCCCGGCCACCGCAGACTCAACCTGCTGGGCTCCGGTGATCCTTCCGCCTCAGCCTTCTGAGTAGCCGGAACTACAGGCACGCGCTACCATGCCCCGCTGATTTTTGATTTATTGTAGAGATGAGGTCTCGCTGCCCAGGTGGGTCTCGAACCCGTGGGCTCAGGCAATCCACTCACCTCAGCCTCCCAAAGGCGCGGGATTATAGGCTGAGCCACCGAGCCTGGCTAAGTATTATTATTTTTTAAAGCAATTGCCACCCAGTAAATTGCTACGGATTTGTAGAAATTTGGGCAAGATTAAATTAATATCAGTAGAAATAAATTTATCACTTTCCTACTGATTCTGGTCTGGTTAAACATGAACTCACAACTAAAGTCCCTTGTCTGAGCTCTTGTATATAATGAATATAATAAACTAGATTTTTTGGAGGGTTGACCCCTTGTGGTACAGGCTTCCCCTGCTAGGTAAATGTTATAGGAACCCATCCGCATTAGTGTACCAGTTACTATTGTTATGAGAGGCTGCACTCAGCTTCAGTGAATTTTTTTTGTTGTTGAGATTCTGTTAACCTGTTTACCCATTTCATGATGGGT